ATAGTTAGGATAATGAAAAAAAAGAACTATAACATCCATGAAATCCTTATGATTTTGTATTATATATATATATATATATATATATTATATATATATATATATATATATATAATAACCACATTGATGTAATAAATATTTATTAATTGCATCTAAGTTTTATTTTAATATTCTAACTTTTCAAATTTCAATTAAATGTTATTTAGAATTAAATCACTACAATTAAAGATGTTTTTTCATTCATGGTATTTAATTGATACTTATGGATATTAATTAAATATGATTAAAATATTTATATTCTATTTACTAAATTAAATGAATAATATAATAATCTAATGTCTAGATTAAATATTATATCAAAAGCTTTCAAACCAAATATTTAGTACTAAATTATATGCATCTATTAATTTGTGTGTATTTATTTATATAAGTGTTTTTTTGTTTTTATTCTACAAACATATTAATCAAATATATAATACAAAGTTATATATTTAAGACAACAATTTCATAACTACCTAATAAAATTACTCATATTTATATGTATTAAATTACAAAATGATGTTTGGAGATTCAATATATACAAACTTAAGATCCTATAATTTCAGAAATAAGAATTGTCATATGTTTCTAATTAGTAGTCGATAACTTTCAAACCCAATATACAATCAATAAAACTAATCACATTTATGTCTATTTTATTACAATAGCACAATTATGAAAATATCAATTCTTCCAAAACCATTTTATAATTTGAAATTTGGAAGTTGAACGCAATGATGTGAAGAATTTTCAAATTACAACTCTTTAAAAGATAAAATTTAAAAGAATTGTGCCATTAAAATAAAAGTCACAAAAGTGACAAAAACAATAATAAAATCCATATAATCCCCATACCTTTTTATTCAGTATACATACAAAAAAAACAGAGTTATAAAGCAAATGAATTGAGACATTTATATTTTCAAGTGAATATAATCCATCAAAAGCTAATTCATGATCTCATTTTTTTTCTTTTAAAAACACATTTCAAACCCATTAACATTAGCGTCGTCTTTACTTATTTCATCAATGTGAAGAAACTCATCAAAACACAATTCTTTTATGAACACATTTCAAAAACATTAAAATTCACAATATTTTTCTTTTAGCTCGAAACGTACAACATTCACCCAAAAATACTCATTGTTTTTATCTTCTTTTTTCTTTCGCAACCGCACTTTCAACACATAACATATTAAAATTGACGACACTTTTCCTTTGGCTCTAAATGTTCAACCATGAGACAATTCTTCATCATCTCTAAATACCATAAACTTTTATATCGGCTCCAATACACAACAAACATCTTATGAATTTAAAGAAAAAGATATAAGGAAAAAAATTGTGGAAAGAAGAAAGTAACTTTTTTTAAACTTTTTCATTCTCATGCACTCTAGGTAATGAAAATGAAAGTATAAGATAAAATAAAATGGAAAGAAAAAAGGTTTTATATAGATAAAATATTTCATTAAATAATCACTTAAATTGCATAAGGTAAAAAGTTTGAAAATTTTAAATAAATATTATTCAAAAAAATAAAATCATATTGATTTAAATGATCTCCTTAAATTTTTAACTCTCATTTCTCATTCTTAACTGTGGATGACTGGATGTCATAATAACAATCGTTAAATTACCTTTTTATGTTTTTATTTAGAAAAAGATAAACAATAAAAAAAATATTCAAAAAAATATGTTGATAAATTGTGTAGTTTGCACAATTTAAAAATAATAAACAGTTCTTTAGGCTGAAGGGTGTGGGTGCGGTCCCAGACCGCACTTTGTGCCACGTAGACCAAGAACACCGCCCCCAGACTGCGGTCTGGTGCGGTCTTGGCCGCACTGCGGTCCTTAAGTGCCGCGCTTTCTGATTGGTTGAGGGGAAAAAGGGAGGATCGCCGGTTGTTGGGTATTTAATAATAATTTATTTATTTATTTATTTATTTATTTTTGCTTTTTCTTTCTTATATATACATATCTAACATCATTTTTTTTTCACAACACAATCTCTTGTCTCTCTCTCAAAAACTTTTTTAAAAAAATCAACACTCTCTCAAAAATGTCATCTTCTTCGTCTTCTGAAGAATTTCAGACTATTTTTGATACCGTTATTGCGTGTGTTCAAATGACGGAAGAAACATACAACGTTGTATGTAACAACGCGGCTGCAAGTTCTCAACGGAGAACACGAAGATATATTTGCAGAAATCGTGAAGAAGCCAACCAACGTTTGGTGCAAGACTATTTTGCAGAGAATGCCACTTATCAAGGGTATTATTTTCGTAGACGCTTCAGAATGCTCAAAGGTTTATTCGAACGTATAGTTGAAGATGTAACGAGGGAGTGCAGTTTTTTCCAACAACGCTACGATGCTAGAGGTACACCCGGTTTCACTCCCTTACAAAAATGCACTGCCGCACTTCGTCAGTTAGCATATGGCATTCCGCCTGATGCGTTAGACGAAAGTTTTAGGATGTCTGCTAGGATAGCACGAGACAGTCTCCATTTTTTCTGCAAAACTGTGATTCAGTTTTATGGTCCAAAATATTTACGTAAGCCTACACGTAATGACATCCTGCAATTGCAAGCTCATCATGCTAGTGTGCATGGGTTTCCTGGAATGCTAGGAAGCTTAGATTGTCTCCATCGGGCATGGGAAAATTGACCTACAGCATATCATGGGCAATTTACCCGAGGTGATCATGGTCACCCAAACGGTCATACTTGAAGCAGTTGCATCACAAGATATGTGGATTTGACATGCTTTTTTTGGTTCTCCTGGTTCGATTAACGACATCAACGTTCTTAATCGTTCACCAATATTTAACAACATATACGATGGATCCGCACCAGATTCTTCTTTTCAAGTATGTGGAACGCCATATAAGTATGGTTATTATCTGGTCGATGGAATCTATCCTGAGTATGTTGTGTTTGTTAAATCGTTTACAGTTCCACATGGTTCTAGACGAAAGAAATTCAAGAGAGCTCAAGAAAGAGCTAGGAAGGATGTTGAGCGTGCTTTTGGAGCTCTGAAGAAACGGTGGTTCATATTGAAAAAACCAACAGCTTATTTAGGCGAGGAAAAACTTCAAGAAATCATGTATACATGTCTTATATTGCATAACATGATTATTGAAGACGAAGGAAGAGCGATATGTGCGTTTGACGAGGAAGAAACCATACCAGAGACACAGCCAATAGAAATTGGTGGCGAAGAGTATATAAACAGGAGAGCAGAGATACGTTGCACTGAAACATTTCACAATCTTCGCAATGACTTGGTGGAACACATTTACGGGGTTCAAAACATTAACCTTAATTTGGATCCACCGGATGACCCCGAAGACGAGTTCTCGGAGAACGACTTTATGTAGTTTGCTTTAGTTATTTTATTTGTGTTTTTTAAGTTTCTAGGATTATTTAAATGTCATGTGTGTGGTTTTCGTGTTTTTTATTTATTTTTTTTTTGGTAATGCAATGTAATGTTTTTTTTTAATTTTCAAGTAATGAAAAATTATGTTTTTTTATTAAAATAGAAGTTTTATTAAATTAAAATAGTTAAAAAAAGAAGTTTTATTAAATTAAAATAGTTAAAAAAACACAAAAAAAAAAAAGAATGTGTGACACCACTCCCTTAGTGTGGAAAGAAACCACACTTGAGTGGTAAAAAATGATATGACGCTTATGTGGCGGGGGAGGGAGTGCGGTTTCGGTGGCACCACACCCTCCAGCCTTATAGAGTATGTACGAATTCTGGTCCACATCTTTTTCTAATATACATTTTGCATTTATAAAACAAACATCATAGTTGAGGCAATATTTTGAAATGGAAAAATAAAAATGTGTACTTTTCATTTGGCAAAAAGTGCATGTTATGTATATTGTCCGACTTCTTTCATATAAATAAAATAAATGCTTCATTTAGTATCGTTGTCGAAAAAGAAGAGAAGCACCAAGATTTTCCCATCAAGTTATATTTGTAACTTGACGAAATTTGTTATCATTAATTTATGATTTCGTTTTCATGTTCCCATCTATTCTTTTTCACATCAACTAAACAACACACGTTATTGAATTCTAATTTTTTTTTTTCAACGTGTCGTTTTAGTGAGACCCACAAAACAGAATATTATGTATCCAAAATAGAATCAAAACTGCTTGAGCTCAATCGTTTTAGTAAAAAATAAACATCATACTTATAAAACACTAATATTTAATTATCATTAAATATTAAAAATAAAACTTAAATCTTATTTTTAAAGTTTAAAAGTAATATTTAAGTTTTATAAAACAAACAAAAGGAAAAACGGTCACAAAGACAAGCTCGCTTTCCCTGTATTCATGCGACAAAGACTCTCGCTTTACTTTCTGGAAAGTGAACAAACCAATCATTTTCAACCTTTTTCATGTAAATCCAATAATAAAAGATTTGCCTGTTTGAAACAATAATTATGCAAGAAAATTAATGAAAACAATCAACTACTATCGTCTATCTTTCAAGCACACATTTGTAATCTTTGTAAATTGTGTAATTAATTAACAAAATCAATTCAAGAATGAAGAATCCCATGGAAGGAGAAGACAAATTAAGATGATTATGTTCTGACATAGAATAGAAAGAAGGTTACAGAAATCTACAGATGAACGAAATCAAGCAAATCGCCATTAATTTAGCTTTTATACTAAAAAAAAACCAGAGCATTTCTCTTTGGCTAAAAATGGCTGATTCAAATCCAGAACAGATGAAAGGGGTTTTCAGTTTTCAGCTTTTCTTTTTCTAACTTTACTTGCACAAAATTGGAAACATTTTATTTACAAAGGTTGAGATTTGATTCAGAACCTAGAGAAGACCCTTTTCGAATTTGAATTCAATCTCTGAACCTCGAATTATGACTTCGAAAATATTAGGTGAGAGTGAGAGAAGAGATGTTCTTGAATTGTATATAGAGAATTATAGAGTCCTACCATCTTGACAACCCATTTTGTTCATCCAAAATCCAAGTTCTATTTCGCCTACTTCTCATTCTACCGAAAACTGAACTGGATAAACTCCGACTTCTGTTCATGGATGAATCATTTGAATTTGAAGAGGGTCTTGATCTCCCGAAGAAAGAGAAAATGTTGCGAAAAACTCTGCCGAATCCACCTTCTCCTCTAGTCCTGTTCCTTCTCGATTCCCACATGATCCTCCTCGGCGTACCTGAACTGTTATTGAACCCGCCGTCCATTTCCGTGTAGACAACTGGAAGCTCTCTCTCGCCACCGCCGGTTCTTCTACCGCCGGAGAACCTTCCAACGGCGAATCCACCGCCAGGTAATCTCCATATCGTTAATCCAACTGTTGCTGATTCTTCTTCGGTTTGGTCCGAGCCTTCTAGATTGGGTGAATTTGTTGAATCTGTTGGGAGTTCGTGGCGGCAAACCGGACAGGAGTTTCGGAGATTTAGCCATGGGAGAATGCAATCGGAATGGTAGATGTGGCTACATGGCATCTCACGAGCTTCAGCTCCGAGAACGAACGCTTCTTTGCAGACAGCACAGTGCAATTCGCTGGTAACTTGTGAATCCGAGATCTCAATCGTGGGCATCGATTCAACAGCCGCTTTCGACGCCGGTGGATGTTCTGCCCTACCTAATCCATTTATCTCGATCTGTGATAATTGATCGAGCAACCGGTCAAACCCTGACCCCATCAGAAACTCCGACATCGTCGGCGGCAAAGGTTGTAAACCAGAACCTGCTCCATCATCATAATACAGCTCAAAACCTCTATCTCCACTCTCTGAATTCTCAATCCCACCTCCTTCGGCACCGCGAAGAACAATAACCGGATTAAACGGCGACCTGTCTCCAGTGTTTCGACGGCCTTCACGCCGGAACCTCAGATCTGACCGATCATTACTTCCAAGCATGTACATCGCGGCTTGAGGAAAACGCCGTCGAGATTCCGGCGGTGAAGGCGCGTGGGAATCCACCGCTTCAATGAATTCTCCCTCGCAGTAAGGACAAACAACGGAGTCCGCAACCACAACCGCCACTCTGATGATGCGTGTGCATCTGTAACACCAATACGACGTTGCCCTGGACATGTTTGCACACACAAAAATAATAAAAACTTTGAAAACCAGTCCGTTGACCGGTGAGCTTGAAATCGGAATATCAGTATGTCAGATCCGGTGAATCTATATAAGTCGCCGGAAAATATAATTTACAGATTCCGATGATGTGGTGGTGTATATGGAAGCTAGAAAGGGCGCGCACACATATAGAGAATAGAAAATGAGGGCATGGATTGATTCGAGGAAAGTAAGAGGAAATTTGGTTTTAAAGTTCACGCGTGATGATGATGGTGGGGGTGGGGGGTTGGGGTTTTAACTTTTAACGGCAGTAAATTTAAGGAGCGTTGTTTGTTGTGTTGCTTTTGCCTTTTGTTGGCATCTGTTGACTGCTGGACGCGTACCAACTTAAAAAGGCTTCATTATACCGTTGTATCTTACATAAAAGTTTTATTTAAGGTTATTTGATGATTTTTAAAATAATTATATTCAAATAATTATATATTTAAAATTAAAATACATATCATGGTGATGGAAGATACTATGAGAACATCATGAGGTTGATCGACTCAAAGCTGATTCTATCCAATGGTCCTTGAATTTGAATTGGTCTAGTTTAATTCCTTTAAAAGTGTAATGTTTTGTTTGGAGGGAGCTAGAATTCCCATTGTTGATACATTAGCTTACAGGGGTATTAACATCCCGTTTTTGGAGTGTAATCTTTGCGGGATTGAATCGCAATCTTTGGCTCACCTACTCATTTAAGTGCAATTTTGTCATGGTAGTTTGTAGGTGGGCGTTGAAACTTGAAATGGTGTGAGATTTAAGGTAGATGTTTTTTTAATATTTATGAATTACTTGATTACGTTGCTTCATAGGAGAATTGTCCCCGGAAAATATGGAAATCTTCGATAAAATCTCAATATTTTGGGTCAGTTTACGGGTTAATCAATTTTTTTTTTAAACAGAAAAGTCACGATTATTTAATATTTTGTTCAAATTAACGAAATAGTCCTTATTTTTTTCAACTAAAAAAAGAGATTATCGTATAAAATTAGATAATCGAGACTTTTCTGTTCAAAAAATAGATGTTAGTTTTAAACCCTAAACTAACCAAAAATATTAGGATTTTAAGGAATATTTCCCCGGAAAAGATTCGTAACCAACACCATCTTCTTTTACATGTTATGGAATGTTTTGGACGGAAATAAATGATAAGGTTTTCAAAAACATGGGCTCCTTCCCAGCTAGGATTGTTGATCATGTATCCTTATTGTATGTTTTGTTAGTATAGGGTCTTCGTTTTCCTCTTAAGAATGGTTCATGTAATGAAAAGATTAGCAGCAAACGATGTGGCTGAGGCTCGAGTTGGACTCGATTCCCTTAAACAGATTCGCCGTCTGTTCCCAGGGTACAACAACCTTAGCAGTATTGTGTACTGCCGGATATGACGACTTGCCTGAAAGAATCGCCGGAAGCAGGAGTACAGAGAAGGAGGAAGAAGAAGAGTATTTTCATCCGTGTGTTTGAATGAGACGGCCAAGGTCTTCTTTTATAGTTGAATCTTGAAACGGAAACAAATCACTAATTGATTGAGCGTTTAATGGCAATAAATGTCATTAATTACGCAATTAATGCATCCGTTACAGAATTCAAAAATAGGGACCAAAACTGTCAAGTTTAACAAAAACGAGGGTAGCGCGCGCCCGAGTTTTCGGAGCTGCATTCGTGTCCGCAGGTCGCGCCCATGCACGAGTTCGGTGTTTTTGGTCTACGGAACCAAGATTTGCACCCCCCCTGCGCGCGGGTAGGAATTGTAGCATAACCATAGACACAAGCTTGTAAGCCTTCCATGCAATGAAGCTTATAAACCTTGTTGAGTTTGGTCTCTCTACCAATGTGGGACTCATTCCCACATTCCTCTCTTTTGCTAAACTTATTCTCAAATACCCATCTTTGAGTATCGATATCTCATTCACTTATACTCTATTTTGGACATATAATATATCGTTTCGAAGTCCTCATGGAGGAGAACACAAACCCACTTAGAGTTCGTTATATATACAACATATGTATATATTTATATATGTCCAAAGTTAGTAAAAATATAAATATTTATACTAAATTTCCAACAATCCCCCACATGAATGGAGATCGATCTCTGCACATCCAATTTCCAAACGAAATTTTCAACAGTTGAATCCTGCATAGGATAGGTAGGTATTACCCTTTGAACCCTCCCTTAAGAAGTTACACTTAATCTCCTAGCAGTTAGTAGATCTCGATGTCTTTGAACTAAGCTGCCATTTATGTAGACGACAATGTAAATCTCACAGGATTCTCCCTGACAAGGTCATATCCTCATAGACGTGTTCGTTTTGGTCATAAACACTAGCCTGGTTCTGCAAGAGCTTTAGGAATTGTGCCCCTATAATTCCCCTCGAAGCGACCCCACTTCTCTCTCACATAGGTGATTCCAAGAATCATTAAAAACCATATGTTTAGCCTAATTTTATCACTACATATAGGAATGGACTAGGAAGTCATGTTAACTCCCCGCAGTGACATGCCTCACTCATACAGTTAGGTTATCCTTTTGAACCCAGATCTTGGGATCTCCAGTCTTCTGGGTAAGGTTTCCTTCGTATGAATTTATTCATTCATGGGCTTTAGTCCCATTCCTCTTGACGACTTATAAACTACATCTCTACTTAAGCCTTTTGTAAGCGGATCCGCAATGTTATCCTTTGACTTCACCCAGTCAACCGTGATAACCCCCGTAGAGATTAGTTGTCGTATCGTTTTATGTCTACGTCTAATGTGCCTTGATTTCCCATTATACATTGTACTTTGAGCTCTACCAATTGCCGATTGGTTATCACAATGTATACATATGGCCGTTACCGGCTTAGGCCATTCGGGAATGTCCTCTACGAATTGACGTAGCCACTCCGCCTCTTCAGCACAAATATCTAAGGCGATAAATTCAGATTCCATCGTGGATCTAGATATAACTGTTTGCTTGGATGATTTCCATGCTACAGCAGCACCTCCAAGTGTAAACACATATCCACTTGTAGATCTGGAATCTTTTATGTCAGATATCCAATTTGCATCTGTGTATCCTTCGATAACTGCTGGATGTCTGCCATAATGCAGTCCATATTCTCGCGTGTATCTCACATACCTCAGCAACCTAGTAATACTCTTCCAGTGTTCAGAACTGGGTTTACTAGTGTATCTACTTAGTCTGCTCACAGCATATGCTAAGTCAGGTCTGGTACAACTCATTAGATACATCAGACTGCCAATAATTCTTGAATATTCCACTTGATTAACACTATCACCTCTATTTTTACGTAGATGTTGACTAGTGTCAATTGGAGTTCTAGCTATGCTAGTGTCTCCCTTAGCAAATTTTTCAAGAATTTTATCCACATAGTGTGTTTGACTTAAAATCAAACCACTTTGGGTTCTTGTGATCTTCACTCCAAGAATCACATCTGCTAAACCCATATCTTTCATGTCGAACCTGGATTTCAACATATCCTTCGTGGATCTTATTATCTTGTCATCACTACCAATGATAAGCATATCATCGACATACAAACACAAGATGACATAACCATGAGTGGTGTTTTTCACATAGATACACTTATCACACTCATTGATTCTAAAGCCACTTTCCATCATGACTTGATCAAACTTTTGATGCCATTGTTTAGGAGCTTGTTTTAATCCATATAGAGACTTAACAAGTTTACAAACCTTGTTCTCTTGTCCCGAGGCAATGAAGCCCTCAGGTTGCTCCATATAAATTTCTTCTTCCAACTCCCCATTTAGGAAAGCCGTTTTTACATCCATTTGATGAACTTGCAAGTTTCTGATAGCTGCAATGGCAAGAACTAATCTAATGGATGTTATCCGCGTTACCGGCGAATAGGTATCAAAGTAGTCTAGACCTTCCTTTTGTCTATAACCTTTGATTACTAGTCTTGCCTTGTATTTATCAATACTGCCATCAGGTTTCATCTTTCTCTTAAAAATCCAACGGTAACCTAGTGGCTTGCTACCTGGAGGTAGATCCACTAGTTCCCATGTGTGATTTTGTAAGATAGATTCTACCTCATTTTTGATGGCTTCTTTCCATTGAGGTCCCTCAGAAGAAGTTACCGCCTCTTGGTAGGTTTTAGGTTCACTTTCCACCACATAGGTGAAGAAATCATCACCAAATGATTTTTCAACTCTAGCCCTCTTACTTCTTCTGGGTTCTATCTCTTCCTCCTCGGATTGAGCTTGTTCTTCCTCTCGAACAGCTTCGTTGTTTGGTAAAGATGGGCTTTCAACTTCCTTGTTCAAACAGGGAAACACATCTTCAAAGAATGAAGCATTCCTTGATTCCATTATGGTATTCTTGTGTATTTCAGGATTCTTAGAATCATGCACAAGAAACCGATAAGCACTACTACTTTGTGCATACCCAATGAATACACAATCCACTGTTTTAGGCCCTAACTTTTGTACCTTAGGTGGTGGCACTACAACTTTAGCTAGGCACCCCCACACTCGTAAGTACTTATACGATGGCTTTCTTCCCATCCAAAGTTCATACGGTGTTTCATTCTTTTCTTTGCGAGGTATCTTATTTAAAAGATAGTTAGCCGACAAAATAGCTTCCCCCCACATTGACTGGTTTACACCCGAACTAATTATCATGGCATTGACCATTTCTTTCAAGGTACGGTTCTTTCTTTCAGCAATCCCATTGGATTGAGGTGAATAGGGTGATGTGAATTCATGACGAATTCCATTTTTAGCACAAAAATCAGCATATGGAGAAACATATTCCCCACCCCTATCACTTCTAACCACTTTAATTCTCTTGTTGAGTTGATTCTCAACTTCATTTTTGTACAAGACAAACTTGTCTATTGCTTCATCTTTACTCTTAAGTAAATATATGTAGCAATATTTCGTGCTATCATCGATGAATGTAATGAAGTATTTGTTCCCACCTTGAGTAGGAATTGACT